TGGGATCGAGCCCCGCATCGGGCTCCCTGCTCAGTGGGAAGCCTGCTTCTCCCTCTCCCACTCCCCCTGCTTGTGTTCCTGCTCTCTCTCTGTGTCAAATAAATAAATAAAATCTTAAAAAACAAAACAACCAAAAACTATTTTGTCTGTAAAGCATTCTGTTCTTTATATTTAGGATTGGATGGTAGGTCATAGGTTCAATAGCACGTTTCCAGAGTGGCTCAGATGGCCCATGAGGCTACGTGTTTATCTTGGTGGCATTCAGAGTGATACATTTTGCTCTGGAAAGCAAAGGGCACATGTTTCATCTGGAAGGAGCTGGGTCTTCAGTCTGGAGTGTTGGAGCAGGCAGCTGAGAGCACCCTTTGCTTGGTGCCATGTGCTGAAGCTGATGAGAGACTGGCTCGGGGCATCAGCTAATCCAGGAGGGTTGGTCCTGTAGCTTTCATATTTGCGTGGAGCCTTGCTTCGTCTCCCTCCTTCAGCCAGTAGGTTGAGTTCCTACCCCACTATTCGGCAGGAGAGGAACAGGGTGAAAGACTGTAAATGGCTCTATGCTGGTCCTTCACCATGGGGAGCACAACCCAGAGCACCGGCTCTTACGAGGAGCACACTGGCCTTTTCATGGGGAGGAGCTGCTGTGTCCATGTGTCCTGAGCTAATAGAGTAAATTCAAGGTTTTCCACGCTGGGAGCTTTGCGTACTGAACAGTGTGGGTTTCCCCTTGACACAGCATACTAATTGGGTCGGTGTATCATAAAAATAATGCTTTGCATTTATATTTTGCTTCAGAGTTTTCAAGCTTCATTAGACTGTGCATTTAACTTGCTGAAATTATATGTGTTTGGCACACAAAGGAGAGAAGGGGAAACTTAATTTAAATTGAGTCAGTGATCTCACTTGCCATTCCCTTTAGGGAGCATGTACCCCAGAGGAAGTGTGCGATGGGGGAGGTGAAGCCGCCGTTCCCTCAATTGCCCCCCGGGGCTGAAGGCCTTGTATTATGAGCGTCTTGTGCACTGAAGGTGCTTCTTATAGCTGAAGTTCTGTACTTTAGGTAGACAGGGCCCACGCATGTAAGCCAGTTGGTTCAACTAATGTCCTGCCAAAGAACGGGCATCTCTTCTCTGCTTTGAGGTTGCAGTAGGCGTATTAAGAGATGCATGCCAGTCTCCAAGGGGGCATGACAGCCTAGGCATGGGGCTCTACTTCCAGGGTGGTGGTAAAGAATTTTCAAGAGTAATTGTGGTCATATGTGATTTTTACCTTACGCTTTGGCTTGAGAAAATAAACTCTGTCGAAGATAGGACTCCACTCTATTTTAAAATGTTGATTCTCTAAGCCCCGTGAAGTTGGCATGGCTGATGTTATTTATGCCCATTGTATAAGAAGTTCCAATTCCTTACCCAAGGTCATGCAGAGCCAGGACCTGGTTTCCAGTGTCCTGGCCATTCTTCCAAGACTGTGGGTACAAGGCAGGGCCAGCATATATGGTTGTGGAGGTTATTCCCTGTGTAGAGGGCAACTGGAAACCAACTTATGGTTTGCTTGCTGAATCCTCCATGCACCATACCTAACATTACATCTGTGTTGAGGGAGGAGCTTCTCTTTCTGATTTACACAAAGATGTCTAGAAGGCTAGTGGGAGTTCCATACAAGGCTAAGCCTGCACAGAAAACAGGAAGCATGAAATTGATGCAGATAGTGTTGGTTTCTTTTTAGGAACCTGTTCACTGCCTCCAAACTCCTCCAAATCCCATCCTCTCCTAAGGAATTTAGAAATTTTAAATTATTTATTAAGCCTGGGAATTTTTACATTTACACTGAATTCTGTGCTTTTTTTTTTTTTT